GCGAGACCGGAAGGTGACGCTGAGATTGTTTATTTTCAAAAACCGTCATGTTCAAGTGTACACTACCAATATAACAAAAAATTCGTCGTAAAACTCAAGCATGATGGTACAGTGGACTAAAACGTTGCGTTCGGTTCGGGCGACTCGGGTTCGATCCCTGCTCCCACTTGCACGTGTGCATAAATGCAGGTGAGCAGAAAAGGGGATTCGTACACGACTCAATTGAACTCAAAGTGTAGTCTTTAACAACTGGACTAACTCGCATTTCAAAATTGTCAATTTGGAGGTTATATTTATTTCCAAACCGTCATGTTCAAATGCACTATCAATATCACAAAAAAATTGCCGAAAAACTCAACCGTCATGGTCCAGTGGTCTAAAACTTTGCATTCGGTTCTGGGGACTCGGGTTCGATCCCCGCTCTCACCTACATAGGTCCATAAATGCAGGTGAGGAGAAAAGGGGACTCGAACAAGAGTCAGTTGAACCCATAGTATAGTCTTTAACCACTAGACCAACTCGGACTTGAAATTTGACAATTTGGAGTTTATATTTATACTTTCACCTTGTCATGTTCAGGTGTAAACTTTGAATAGAACTAAAAATTCGCCGGAAAACTCAACCGTGATGGTCCAGTGGTCTAAAACTTTGCATTCGGTTCGGGCGACTCGGGTTCGATCCCCGGGCTCACCTACATAGGTGCATAAATGCAGGTGAGGAGAAAAGGGGACTCGAACAAGAGTCAGTTGAACCCATAGTATAGTCTTTAACCACTAGACCAACTTGGATTTGAAAATGCACATTTTGGAGGTTATATTTATTCTATTGCTTTGCCGTGTTCGGGTGTAAACTATGAATACAATAAAAAATTCGCCGAAAAACTCAACCGTGATGGTCCAGTGGTCTAAAACTTTGCATTCGGTTCTGGCGACTCGGGTTCGACCCCCGGGCTCACCTACATAGGTGCATAAATGCAGGTGAGGAGAAAAGAGGAGTCGAACACGAGTCAGCTGAACCCAAAGTGTAGTCTTTAACCACTAGACCAACTCGGATTTGAAAATTGACAATTTGGAGGTTATATTTATTCGCATTAACAATAGTATTGGGCACTCCAAAATTGAGGAAGAGGCTAAAAGAACAGTTTCAATGCCGGAAGTTATCAGCACGATTGGCCTAATGGTTAGAGACAAGCGGTGCCGTCTCGTGAGAGCGAGTTCGAGCATCACCTCGAGCTCCCATTTAACGAGATTTTTCTTTCGGAATCTTTTCTCTCAATTGTTTTTTTTTTTACTTCTTTGTTAAATAAAGCTTTTGAAAAAAACCAAAACGTGATGACGTCGTTAGCGAAAACCTATTTAAGCTGCGACTAATTGAACAAGCGGTCTCTTTCCCCTCCAGGCTGACGACTGACTGCACGTCCACATCGCGGCAAGACGACCACAAGGCTTGGCAAGGTGAACGCTTTAACTTTCTTTTTTTTGTCTTGTCATTGCTAACTTTTGTAACTTTTAACAATAATTCACCTTTTCAGGCTGTTCAACTCTTCCACGGTAAGTCGCCTGCAATTTAAATGGCATTGTGTTCTTCTGAACTAACTCTCGTTTTGCAATTTTCTTTTTCCTTTACAGCGTGCAGAGAGGGTAAGTTGCTCGCGTTTGACAAACTGAACGTTTGAGGTTTCTTTTTCGTTTTTTCATCGCTAACCTTTTGTAACTTTTCACATTAATTCACCTTTTCAGGCCGTTCAACTCTTCCACGGTAAGTCAACTGCAATTTGCAACGGCACTCTGCTCGATTGAACTCACTCTCGTTTTGCAATTTTCTTTTTCCTTTCCAGCACGCCGAGAAGGTAAGTTGCCAGCGTTTGACAAATTGAACGTTTTAAGTTTCTTTTTTAGTTCTGTCATTGCTCACTTTTTGTAACTTAACATCAATTCGCGTTTTCAGGCTGTTCAACTCTACAAAGGTAAGTCGCCTGCAATTTTAAATGGCACTGTTTGATATGTCTTTTTTTTCCTTTCCAGTGTACTGAGAAGGTAAGTTGCCAGCGTTTTTATTTCCACAATATAAATGAGACTCTGCTCTTACTTTGTAATTGTGTAATTTCTGTTCACAGGCTTGGCATCTTCAAGTGACTCGCCAAATTGACTCTAAAAATGACTATGTACGACTTTTTTTTGGGGGGGGGGGTGTTTAAATGTGCTTACCAAAAGTCACGCTGCTAATTATTTCACTTTTTTTTTTTTTTTTTAGCCCACCCCGTTTCGCTGCAGGCCACTGCCGAGGTGTCCAGCTCAGCCCTGCGCTCGTCACTGGTAAGAGACAAAAACACTCCTTCGCATACAATTCTGAAATCATGTTTTAATTTCGTTTCAGCACATTAAGATGAGCTAACAGGAGGCTTCGAGTGCTGACGTGATTCAGGTAGGAACCACAAACAAAAAATGTGGCTTTTTTTTTTTTCTTCTTCTTAAAGGGAGGATTTCAAAATTTGGTGCTGTACACTACCTCATTGGAAACTGCGCTCCCCAGACATCTTGAAAAAGCAAGTTGAGAGTCCGGCCTCAAGTTGCTATTTTGCTCCTGGACAAAACTGAAGGAAGGTAAGGACATCGGAAAGAACTACAATTCACTCTTTCTGACATCCTTTTTGTGTGTGCGCAGGTGAAACGGCATCTTGACTTCATCCACAGCTGCCTGACAAAACAAGACAACGGCGAATGGGGCCGTTTGCAGTGTCTGCTGGGTTTGAGCACACTGCAAAGCAAAATGGCTCAAGTGAACATTTTTTAACACATTTTCTCTTTTGCAGGTTCCCCCAAAGCTGCACCGGGACGAATGTCTCTCGGGACCGTCTAAAAGATACATTGACCATTCTGTACTTGCGTACTCATTTTGTTTTTCTTTCTGCTCAGGTGGTGCCAAAGCATCTCTTGCCCCTGCAGAACCTGAATCGGCAAAGACTGTGGACAGGCTCGAGTAACGTCGATCTTTTTTGCCAGTGATGCTTCTGTTGGAAAAGAGACTAAAAAATGTGATTGTTGTTGCAGGTGGAGGAGGAAACATGATCGTTTGTTGAGATGAGCACATGTTTTCGTTTTTGACTGTGCACAGAGGCTTCCAGTTGGTGCCATCGTGGAGTCTGCACCCTGGTCACCAAGACGCTGGGCAAAGAAAATTGTCTACATTACAGCTGAAATCTTTCAAGTTGACCCACATTAAAATTAAACTGAATTAAAAGCTTGATGGGTCCATTGCGTACCTCCTGTTTGTGTTCAGGCTTGTCCATTCTGGGGCCCTCAGAAGCGGTTGGACATTTTTTTTCCTCATGAGGAGGATTGCCAAAGTTGGTGCTGTCAACGGCACTCTGCACGTTGAGAGTCCGGCCTCAAGTTGCTGTTTTGCTCCTGGATGAGACAGAAGGAGGGTAAGGACGTCGTAAATGACTTCAATTCGCTCTTGCTGACATCCTTTTTGTGTGCATGCGCAGGTGAAACGGCACCTTTACTTCATCCAGAGCTGCCTGGGGAACAAGAAAACAGTGAATGGGGCCGTCTGCTGGGTTTGAGCATGCGGCAAAGCAAAATGGCTGAAGTGAACATTTTTAAACCCATTTCTCTTTTGCAGGTTCCCCCAAAACTGCACTGGGACGAATGTCTCTCTGGACAGTTGAAAAAGGTACATTTCACATCCTGTACTAATTTTGTCTCTTTCTGCTCATGTCCACTAGATGGTGCCAAAGCACCTCTTGGCCCTGGAGAACCTGAATCGGCATCCACTCCGGGAAGAC